AAGTGAAATAAAATTGCTACGCAAGGGGTAGCGAAAAGACGCAAGTGCCCTTGGGAGAGGCAAACTCAATCAATGATTGATGTTTATTTTCCGACGGTGGGGAAGAGACAGGCGCCACCACAACCTGCTGCATTGCTGGCAGAATCGCTGAGTCAACCCGGCTGCGATGACGGTGGCGGCTTTGGAGTGGAACTCGCACACCTTGTGGCGTCGGTGGTAGTGCTTCGCCTGAGACAGATCAGCATTGCATCCCTCGGCCTGGCAGCGCGGGGAGTTGGAGGAAGCCGCCGAACCGGATTCCGCCGGCCGAGACCGACGGTACAGACGGCTCACGAAATCGTCCTCGGAGGAGGAGAAATACGTCCGCCCACCGAGATTTAGGCCAATTCGTGAGCCGACAAAGTCCATGGGCCGACCGACGTCCTCGGACTTGGGAACGAGGAGGAGTCCGCCCGGGCCGGGTCCGGGCCCGGGGCCGCAGTTGGTGGCGTTGACGTGGGGAAGCGGGTCAAGGGAGAGCATGGAAGGGGGTGGGGGGTAGGAGGCGGAGGACGCGCCGTGGAAGGCGCGTGGGTCGAAGAACGGGTGGTGGTGGTGGCTGTTGACGTGGTGGTGGTGCGGCTGCGGGTTGAAGTGGTGGTGGTGGTTGGTGAAGTCGACGGTGGGTGCCGCGGCAGTGGTGACGGCGGAGTGAGTTGGCGCGTGCAGAAAGTGGTCGGGGATGAGCGAGTGCGAGGCGTAGTGGTCGAAGATTTGACGGTGGGTCTGGTCGGAAGCTCCGGCTGCGGTCTCCTCGTTTCCTGTTAGCATTATTGAAGACGGGTTTCCCCATTCGTAGTCCAACATGTCTCAAACACTGCAAACACGAAAAAGCGATTACAAAATAAGGTCGTAAGAACAAGCAAGAAGAAAAAGAGATTCGAGAAAAATAAGGAAAATAAAAACATGGGTTTTGTTTTTTTAAGGAAGGGTTTATGAACAAGTGTTTGGAGACTTACCTGTGTGAGTTTGGAGAGTGAGTGAAGTGAAAGAGTGAGAGAGATATGATTGCAAAGAATAAAAGCCCTAATTTGGAGAGGTTGTGTTGTTGTTAGCTTTGCAACTTCATTTTCTTCTCTCTATCTTCCTTTCTCACCACAATGGCGTGCACATTAAGTCTTTTTTTTTTCTTGTGTTTCTCTCTCTCTTTTCACACTTTGTGGTTTAAGACTATGCCCTCTTTGCTAAATGGATGTGCGTTTAAAAGATCTCACTTTCACCCTCAAAAAGCTGAACCCTTTTGTCTCCTTTCTCCATCTCTCTCTTTCTCTTTCTCTTTCTCTCTATGCCAAGAAAAGTTACTACTCTTGCTCCTTAATTCTCTCTCTCTCTGTTTCTCTCTATTGGTGTGAGAGTGTGTGAGAGTTTGAGAAAAACTCAGTTTATGAGGCGGCTTCTGCAGACAGTGGGTAATTGGTGGGTGATCTGTACTGTTATACATGTTACAACTTCAATGGAAAAATTACCATCACAATCCAATCAAATTCCATCTTTTTCACTTTTTTCAAAAGGTATAAACAAAACTTTACTACAATATCATTCACCCAATGAACTTCAATGTTATCCTTTGGTACCAAATATCATAAAGGTCAAATTTTTTTTTTCTCCTTCCATTCAATTTTACCCCACATACAACAAATTGAGAAACTCACATCCACACAACATAAAATGGTTTTACATTCAAGTTCAAGTTTGTGGGCAGGCCAAATCTAATTATGAAACGGAAAAGCAAGAATTTTTTTTCTTTTTTTTTTAAACTTAAGAAGCTTATAATTTTGAGTTGAATGGAATGAACATGCAAGCGTACGGAGAGACATCGAAAGTGAAGATATTTTGATTTATTTTTTCTTCACCGGTACAATATTACCCTGCTTTTGTACCAGATAAGTTAGAGGAAGAAGGAGCATGGTGGTGATGGTGGGAGCAGTAATTAATTAGCAATGTGAGAAGTAGACAAAGCAATAAAACAAAAACTCATTAACCCGATTTTGAACTGAACAAGAGCAGAACCTAGAAAAATCAGAAGCTGTATATTTATAACATATGCCATCTAAATTAATGTTTTTCGTGATATCTAATAATGTTGTTGGTGAGATGGGGTTAGTAAACTGAAGAGGGTGAGAATAAATTTTCGGACCCACAATCTGATTTTTGAGTTTGGTCCGTTTGATGAGTGGCTCCCAGATGATGATTAATCCTGATATATGGCTAGGTGGATTTTGTGATATGCTTAATTGAATTTTCGCTTTCTTGCTTTTCCAAACGCACCCCTTTATTTCGTTTTTGAACATTTGAAAGGGACTCTTTAGAACAAGTGCAACTGCATCTGTTTCATTATTTCAGTGTAAATGGCTCCATTTTTTTACATTAAAAGTTTCAACCCATGTGATTCTCCTCCTAATATACACAATCACTTTTTCTTCAAACAATTTTCAAATCCTTCGACCCACTTAGGTTTTTCATTAAGTCATCCGGTCGTGTTCTTAACTTCTCATTAAGCAAAGATTAATTAACATCCATGATTCTGCTTAGTTTTGGTCCTTCTTTGGTTCTTAATTTTGGCACCATTTAATTCCACCAAAGATGAGAAAAAAACAAAAAAGGAAAAAGCTGTCAGTGCAAAAATCAGATCTTACTTCACTTCTTAAATATCAACAGCTTTATTTATAGACTATACTGTGAAACATAAAGCCTTTTTCTTCTTTATCTTACAATCTTACTGCAACTCATGTATTTTCAAAATCACCATTAAATCATCTTCCCAGTTTGCAAAATCAGTAAGTTGATTATTCAAAAGCCAAAGTTGAAGCATATGATTATATATATTGTATGAAGGAAAGTTGAATTGAAACATTCTCTACCAAAAGGTGTAGTTAATTATTGATGTGCATATGCACAGATTCCAATGAGAAAATGTGTTTGGTTTTGGTTGACTTGGGAATTTCCTTGGAGGGTTAAGTTTCCATTACACTGATCTATGCAGCATCATGCAGGAATTCTGTGTGCACTTGATTTTGTACAAAAACAAAGGCACACATCTCCAGTACTATATAGTCAGTTTGACATAACACAAGCTCATGCAGCATTGCAGCAGCAGATCCATCAACCTATATCTATATATTACATATTTATATTTATATATAACTCCACAGAGCAAGAAACAAAATGATATGATGTGAATATTGGAATTAATTGTACTTATATAGAGAAAACATGCATGCACGAAAATATATATTATTCTCTCTCACTACTGAGTGCAGTGACTGAGCATGCAAACCTAGCTACACCAAATTCTTCATTTGATATCTGTACTATTCTACTCATTACTGGTTTTTTTATACCATTTTGTGAGGCTGGGCATAGAACAGAAGAAAACAATGTGAGCAACATATATAGGAAGTTGGTGTAGATATATATATATATATATATAAGTTGAATAATTGAGAAAATATGAATGTTGTGAGAGAGAAAAAATGCATTTTTTGTGGTGAGGATGGTTCCACATTAAGAAGGAAAAGAAAGAAAGAGAGAATTGAAGAGTGTAGTAGAAAAGAGTCAAATGTTGGGACCTTTCTATGGCCCAAAAAGCAGCCATGCGAACCAAATTCTGCTCCAATTTCTGAAATTATCACGTGGTCTACCTCTCTACATCCCACCGGGAGACTTGCTGCAATTTCTTTTTACCATTCAATGCATTTACTCTTTTTTTTTTTTCAACATTCTTATAGAATTTGTACTTTTCAAACTAATAACTATTTCTATTTTATTTTTAATTTACATGAAATTTCTTTATATTAATAAATGATTTTATAATAATCTGATAGTATGTAATATGTATTGATAGAATATATTTTGAATGACGAATAATACGTATTGTTAGATATATTTTGGATGATTTGAAGTAAATTTTAAGTTTAATTTAATTTTATAAAATTATATTTTTAGAAATAAGGTGTATATGATGTAAATTTATCGTTAATAGATGTGAGATGTTTAATATATATTTCGAAAATTAAAAGGTATGAAACAAATTTATAAATTAAACAAGCACTTGATTATATATATGTTAAGAAAAAGTTAAGGTAGGGAAAAGTTATTAATTACAAAGATAACTGAAAAATATATATCTCAGATCTAACACTCGTATTACTTTTATGTAGGAAAAATTAAACTTTGATAAGCTTGTTTTTAGTAGTTTCTAAATTATTCTTATCGTGAATGACTTTAATTAGCTTATTGCGAGTGTTAATTTTGGTTTCATTTTCGTATCTTTAATATTTATTTGAAACCTTTTTATATTAATTTAGAAAGAGACTTTTATTTGAAAATGAAAACGTGCTTATTAAGCTATGAAACATTAAGCGAAAACGTGTTTTTCTTTCAGCGATTAGAGTCCTTGAATTTGATTTTGAGGAAGTTGTTTAAAACGAGTTTTTGATGAAATTTAAGTGATAATTATGTTTAGGCGTATATGATTTCGCCTATCGGAAGATCTGTAAGTGTAAAGGTTAAGACAGACTTAAGTGATAAAAATTTTAATAGCAAAAAAATTATTATAGTTAAACATATATATTTTGATTTTAATATATTAGTTTTGCTTATGGATTTATGTGTTAGTTGATTTTAATTAATATGAAAAGTAAAAGAAAATGTTGAAATCATTATTTTAGTATTGGTAATATTAGTTTTGAAATACAAAAGTTACTCTAAAATGAGATTCAAAAATGAGATGCTAGTGTTGAGTCAAGAAAAATAAAAAATTTAAATTTATTTTCAGCAAGTTAAAAAAACGTAAAGTCGTTATAAAATTTAGTTATTATTTTTATTACGTAAAAACTTTGCATTATTTTACCTAAGAGAAATATTTGTTACACTCAACTTGTAATGCTTTCAATTATGAATATGTTTTCTTTGTATTATAACAACACTATTTTGAGCATTAAATAGTAAAAGGTTGGTTTGTTGTGTTAGATATTTTAAGGAAATTTGTGAGTCAACATTTTAACGGCTTCGTAAGATAATTTCATAGATCTGAATTGAGATTCAATCGTTTTATGTGATTTTTGTGTTATAGTTTGCATCTTTTCTTGTGATTAGTTTAGCTCAGTGTCGTCTACAACTTATTATAATAATATAGTTTTACAATGTAATCTAATATAACCTTCTTATACTGGATAAAATATATTTTTTATAATGATTTATAATCTACTAGTGCGACAACACTTTCGTAAATATAAAAAGTTTTATATACAGGTTCAATCTAGAATTGGTATTGAAAGTGAACGTGATTGACATTTTTTTTAATAAAGAATAAAATTTTCTATATTAGTTCAAATTATAATCGGTATAGAAAGTTGAACAGTGACATTTTTTTAATAAATAAGAAAATTTTCTATACCGATTTTAATTATAACTGGCATAGAAAGTAGATTCTTATTTTCTTTTTCTAAATTAAGATATGCGAGCAGCTTCTTCCTCCATTCACACTCCCAATATGTGTGAGCACTCTTGCTGCTATAATGGCTGCAACCATGGATCTGCATTGTCGGTGACCCTTTCCCTCTCGTAAGAGGCTTACTCCTTCTCGTTCTCTGATTCACAATTTAACTTCTTTGACATCGCATCTTTGTCTTAAACGAGCCATAATCGAAGACGTAGTTCTCTGCAATGTCATTCATCATTGTACATTAGTTATTGTTTCTCCCTTTCTTCTCTATTTTATTTTCCAGCTAAATTTTTTGAGTGAATGTGGGTGTTGAAATACAGTGACCCACTTTTCAGAAAGACAAAATGCAGTGGTAATGGTGTCTTAAAGATACGGGACATTACAAAGGTATACTCTGAAAAGCCTTAAAAAATGTAGTGATAATTGTGAAAGTTGGGATTTGAGGAAACAAATTGGTGTGCACAATAAATTTCAGTCCTCATTAATCTACTGTTCTTCATCAATTAGAGTCTTCGTACACACCCAACAAAATTCTTGCACAACAAAATCCCAAAACATTATTTTTCTATGTCGGTTATACCTTTAATCGATATAAAAAGTGACACTTTTTATACTAGATTTGAAACTGATATAAAAAGTCAATATTTTCTATAGCTCCTACTTCTATACCAATTCTAGAATTAGTATAAAAAGTCTTTTTTAACCGATATAAAAAAAAGTGCACTAGTGATAAAAAGAAATCTTGTATTTTTTTTTTCAAATAAAAAATTTAAAATAAATACATTCATTAAAAAATTACACATTATGTTTTATTATGAAAGGTAAAGATCATTAAATTTGTCATCATCTGTAAAGATGAAATTGTCATGACATATATGTTTGTGAGAAAATAATTATATCATATAATTTTATAATCATATTATCTTATAAGTATAATTTT